CAGATGGGCCCCCTTCAGAGGGTGGGGGGGTTAGCATAACAGAGTGGTATTACTTTAAACATCATTAGCAAAGCTGTATCGTAAGTCTCCCAAGGAAAGAAGAGACGGAAAGGAGACTAGATCCTGCGTGGTTTCACGGGCGCGTGCTGGTTAAGAGCAGATCGTCAGCCATGATTTCTTTCCTTGCTGTTCATTGGCTAATGAAAAGACTGTGTTCTGCAGTAGGATAACACATTTAATACTCTGAAGTGAACTTAAAACCTTTTAGATAAATATGGGATATAAAGGCAATTTGTGAAGGATTACTCCAAAATGGCCGCCTCACTCGGCGCTCCGCAGCTTCCCTGTGTCTCGAATACGACGACGGTAGAGAGAGAGCGTCGAGGATCCATCTGTCTGCCGCTTCTCTCACATTGTAGCCATCTGGAAGGGATCAGCTGTATACGTGAGATGTAAAAATAACGAATCCGGGCAGTCCGGTGTGGGCACACATCTCACTATAGCGGGGGAGCTGGAGAGATTTGCGAACGGTGGGGTGAAATCCTATTAGGAGGGTGATGAGGCCCAGTCCTCAGAATGCAGGATGGGAATGTAATTTGTCGTCTAACCAAAATCCCTAATTGCTTAATTGGGGTCATTACTTGGGCATCAAGCTGCCTCGTAGGCGTGGTCTAGACTGCATTCTTCGGAGGTCAAACAGGAAGAATTGTCAAATGGGATGATCTGGCCTACGGATAATATCCTTTTTGCGTCACCAGCTGTTCCAGTCACGAAGCGCTGCACCTTTCGCCTAGCTGGGACATGCCCACTTTACCTCTGCACAATCTGGGAATGGGATATGTTGACCTGCGAAGGATCCATTGGTTGGAATGGCTTTGAAATGGGACACACCGCTGTGATGCATTCGCTCTCCGAATGCAGCCTGAGAAGGATGCAGCCCCTGAATTCGGACACAGCCCTAGTGTCCCGTGTCTGAGGCAGATGCTAATTGGGCTGCTGAGTTCTGGTTGGGGGGTAAATGCACTGCTGGAGAGCCGGCTCGTTCGTCATCTACGGGAGGCGACCAGTGAAGGCGATGTGGGCTCCTGACAGACTGCGTTAGCCAGCCTTGGTTCAGTTATGCTGGAGACCGGAGAGACCACTTTGTCCGACCCAGAGCCGGCGACTGGCTACTTCCCATTCATCTCCATAATTCCACTAATTAATCCTTGCTGGGTGCACCTCCTGTCGGCTTGAGCTGTGGTCCTCAGGCCCTGCGATAATGAGAGGCATGATCACCAATCTCTCCAGCCTCACCAGCCCCAGTAAACCCAGGAACACCGGTGACCTACTAGCCAAGATGCTCGTTAGTCTTCCCATGTCTTTGGATGATCGGGAGCTAAATGAGCATCGGTTTGCACCAGATTCTTGGTGTCGGTCATGATCTGGTCTTCTGCTTAAAATGTACCATGATTGGCTCGGTGGATCTTCAGCAGAGGTGTGGCACCTTCTGCTGCCACGCCAAAGTGCTGAGATATTAGGTTACCACCATGCGTGAAATCACTTGTGTCCCAGAGGTCGTTACTCTCAGAACATGTGCGTTAATTGCCATCACCTGCAGGGAGGAGCCCAGGAGAAAGTTTGAACCCAGTCTGTGTCTTTCTAAAAACACACTCGTGGAATGTTAACTACTCCAGTGTTTTTTTCCATCGTGAGACAACCATATCTTTGATATCATTGGGAAGACCTGCAGCTTGGACTCCAACAGTCGCTTTCAAAGCAGCTTGGACACGCACGGACTATCCTCGATCAATGTTCTCCAACTTCTCCAGTACTTCGATCTGAAATCCCCATCCGTCTGCTTCTTGAATTCCCTGCTCTTGCTTTTCAGATGAAAAAGACTGCGTGCCACAGCTCGCTCGGCTGACATTAAAGGTTCATTTTCCCATTGATCCAATTTCCCTATAAATATCCGGCAGTCTTAACTGAGTTCAATGCTAACTGCTTTTACGTGCACAAACACAGGCATCAGAAATGGGCTCTTTGTAGTCGAGGCGGAAAGGAACTTGCGGAAAATCCAATTGTATATTTAATGCACGGCCTGTCAAACGTGTCATTACTGGAGTTCGTTACACGGATAGCTTGAGGGTTCCTATCACTCGAATGAGATAGGCTCCGGTATATTTATGTGATGATGGCGGACAGGTGTATCTGCACAGAATAAGCTAAGTCCCCCAGTATCTCCCTGGCAACCGAGGGTAGCCGCTACTCCTGGCCTTCCTCCAGTGTCCCAGGAGAGTGGGAAGTGAAGGAGGGAGCAGTGCAACCATGTGACTTTTCTCTGGTGGGTGCACGGTGAAGCGATAAGTACTGTGTGTGTCTGTGTGTGCGCGCGTGTGGCGGAGGGAGACAGCACAATTTAGTTAGCAGTCAGAAGAAGGGAAAATTACCCGCTGTCACTGTCTCGCTATGTTAGATAGCGCAGTAATGTATGGCCAGGCATTAAAAGCGGAAAGCGGGATGGCGATTGGACAGAGCAAATATATCGTCCCTGTGCACTCGGGGGGAAAAAATAACAACTGGACAGAATTTATACAGCTCCTGCCAACGTTTTTATGCAGTCGAACCATTAAAGGAGTTGGCGTCTCCCTCGTCCGATCCCCAGCCAAAGTGTGTTTGTCAACCAAATGGACTTTGTGAGCCATTCCGCATTATTGGGCTCCTTAAAGGTAACAGAACGACACACGTGGCCCCCGTGCCCAATATTTATGCTGGAGTTAAAAGGGTTTTTGCTCCGGGGGTAGCGATGGGCATTTTGCAGGAAGTAATGCAATATGCTGTTCATAGATGTCATGGGCATGAAGAGCAAATCCCTGAAAGGGCATGTGTCACAATCGCCGCACGGAAGGACCATCCTAAATCAGGAGCGGCAGATGCTGATTCGCTAGTGAAAGTCACCTGCTTCCATGATGTAATGGTTAGCACTCCAGTGTCCTGCAGTCTGACATCAAATCATGCTGCAACCTTTTTTTGGAGAGGCTGCGTCTCACTGATTGGAAGGTTGTACAGCACCCCATCTCACCCCCCCCCCACCCCCCCAAGTCAACTGAAAGAAAATCTGACCAACCTCAATCTGCTCACAAAATGGCGGAGGTAGTATCAGCCAGCTGGGGGTGGGGGGGGGCACATGGGGCAAACACGCTAATCAGCTCTGATGGGACGGCCTGCCAGCAGTGAGAGGCCTGTATGCCAGCGGCCTGTATCACGTTTAAGCTGAAGAGGCCCGCAGTCACTGTCGGTAGCTGCTCCTGGCTTGAATGTCGAGTACCTTTGGGGCGAATGTGATGGGATTAGTGGGGTACAGGAACGGATCGAAAGCCAGGTGACGACTGAAAGGACAGGGAGCGAGGTCTGCGCGATGGCTGCCTCCTCTCCGCTGATGCACCTTCGCTCTCATTCCCTTCATCACCAGGCCTCCCAGAGCCCAGGGTAGAAGCAGGCTCGGGGAACGGAGATGAAAACGAGCGCTTTGGAAGTCGATTCGAGGTGCTCCTGAAGTATGTTTCTGAGTCCAGAGTGACACTTGTTTCTTCAAGCTAAACGGCAGAGGATTGCTGACCGAAATCCTCTTCATAGTGGTGTGTGTGTGTGTGTGTGTGTGTGTGTATTTCAGTTTTTTTCTTATCATACCTTTTTGTGGTTTTGTTGGGAGCAGAAAAAAAAAAATAGCTGACTTTCCTACAAGAGCTGAACAGGCGTCGTTATACATTGGTTTCTGGTGATTCCTGGGTTTAGGTCCCATCCATTTGGGGAGAGGGTCACTAGATGACCTGAGTTTCAGGTGGCTCACATGAGGGGGGCGAAATTCATACAGAGGGGCGAACCTAATCATTAGCCAATGATATTCTTTGAATTGTTGAGTGACAGGGGAGGGCGCACTCTAGGGCCAATCAGCTTTCAGCTGGGGCTAGTGCCCCTGTGACCCCGCCCTTGCCTGAGTTCCTGAGAAGTTCCTGAGCTGGGTCCCCGACAGACTCTGTTCCTCTCAGAGAGAAAGTCAGCCAGTTGGAACCCGGGGCCCCAGCATGCAGGACACCCAAAGATGTGTCCGTAGGTGTCCTGCCGATTCCCTAGATGTTCTGTCCTTGAAAAACCCTGTCCTGACACCAGAAACGTAATGCAAACCCACAGGTAGGTACTGTAGCTATATGACCAGCTGAGAATGAGGCAGCCTCTCCAAGGATCCCAATTTCAAAACCTCATCAATACGTATATAACATGCACCAGAATCCGCCAAGTTCGCGTTTCCTGGAAAACAGATGTACTATCAAAAGCAGTGACAGGAATATATTTGTATTCCAGTCATGCTGGTTAAGATTATCGGAACTGAAAAGCGTTACATTGGGATTTTTACAGGAACTTCGAAAATAATGTCAATTAAATGGCTCCGATGTGAAACGTGAAACCAAAGTAAATAAACAATAAATCAATCCCATATCACCCCAAAATGTTTGCCTGGGGGGCAGGACCTCATATGCTGCCTGTCATCTCATAACCAGTCTCCCTGGACCCAGGAGGGCCTTAAATTGGAATCGTGACTAGTTAGGCCGAGACCAACACAGTTCCAATGTGTCGTAATTTCACTCAAGGGACCAATGCAGTTTTTATGAATTTGAATCTGATGTGTCTGGTGAAAACGAGAAGCTACAAATATCCAGGGGCAGGACTGAGGACCCAACATCAGCAGCTTATAATGTGCTATTTTAAGAAATACTTACCGAACCTCGGAGAAGCTGGGATGAGAGCATTGAGAATAAACCTGGGCACACACGATATGCAAAAGGAAATGGATTTGACTTGAGATTCTGCTTGCCCTTGTAAGGCTTTAGATATTTGAGAATATGAGGAGATCGAGTGCATAATGCTTGCATGCGGAACCTGTTTTCTGTATTGTTGGTCACTGGTAAGGCAAAACACTGGAAACTGTAAAACAATCACACAAAAAATAAGAGATTAATGGCTTTCAGAGTAAAGTTTTTATTTTAAAATTACCAAAAACGTTTCATAAATACATGTCGACAAAGAATCTTTGATCCCAGCTGTCATTCTTGAAACCCAAAGGTCAACTGTTGGAGAACGATACTAAAACCCGCGATCGATCTCCTCAGCTGGGTTAAGGGTCACAGCGACAGTAAACTCGTGGTTCAGCTGGCACGCCAGGTGCCAATCATAATTTATCTGTGAAAGAGGTAAACATATGAAAGCTTCCAAGGACGGATAAAAAATAAAAAAAAACAGCATGACATCACCAGCGGAACCCGACCTAACAACCAATCAGAGGCTGATGACAAGTACACAGGTCCCGGCGACGTGGCTTCACAGTAAAACCCATATGCAGTCTGGTCGGAATGTTCTGGAGATGAGAACAGTGCTTCATACTGTTTGAGTGGAGGGGGTAGACTGTTCCTGAAATCCTTCCTGCGCCTCGATCCCTCTGGCAAACAGCTGGATCAGCCCACAGTGCACCCTGGGGACACGAAGACCAATAACCTTTCAACACAAAGCTAAGAAACAACATTACTGGTTCTGTTCTCAATCCCCTGACATCCATCTTCACAATGACTGTTGTGTATCTTTGATAAGACAAAAACGGCTGAGTAAAACGGCAGCCTTGTAAGTATCTGCGCAGGATATGTGTCTTTCCTTTTAGCCTAATTTCACGTACTACAGTATTTAACTATGTAGAAAGGCGTCTATTTCCTACAAGTAAGATTAATGTTTTTTTGTTTGTTCTTTTTACTGTCTTTAGCCTCTGTGTCCTCATTACTTATCTCTACAAGCGAGTTGTTTTGTTGACTCACATCAGGAACAATTACTAGAGGGGAAAATGCAACGAAATAATGGATTTCTTTCTTAATTAAATGGAAGTAAGCTTTTAACAGCAGGAGGCCTATTAAATTAAATCCATCACGCAGCCATGCATCATTGGCAAAATACAATTCAGTGATTGGTTACAACGGTGCATTAAAGTTATAATGAATTCTGGAGTGAGTAGTCATAATATACAAAGGTTTTGTCAACCATATGCAATTAAATCATTCTTTATCGGCCCTGGTATCTTTACAGAATATTTAATGAGAAGCCTGAGTTGTAAAATCATAGTAAACAGCTGAGCAACCAGTATTCCTGTCCAAGAGCATGGAATATAGATGCCTGTTCTTGTTTTTCACACACGTAAATGTACTTAATAGCCGTGGATCAGTGTTTTGGTCCTGAGACACTGACTCGCACAGGTAAAGCTAACAGCTGCACATTGGCTTCGTCATACCCGACTTCGATGGTTGCTTGGTGGAGGACCTCTCCATCACAGCTCCACCTGCCCCACGTGGGCTGGCATCCATAGCTCGGGCTGAACTGTATCGGTCTGTCCCCCTTCCACTCTGGCTCCAGGTCATTCCCGGGGACAAAGCGAAACCGGCGGATGCGGTGCACCTCCACGAAGCCCAGGTCGAACTGTGGGGTGCGGAGGAGAAGGGGGGAGTGAGTACCAAACTGTGTTACACCAGTGTCTCTGATATACCTGAGTACTGGAGTTGGAACACATGCATTACACTTGAGTAATGAGGTGGAAATACCTTCATTAAACCTGAGTAGGCTGTGCTGGGAATATCTGCATTACATCTGAGTACCATATTGGGAATATCTATGTTACACCTGAGTATCATGCTGGAAATACCTGCGTTACACCTAAATATTGTGATTGGAATACTTGCATTACACCAGAGTACGTGAGTTGTGGTAATGCCTGTTTTACCCTGTGTTACTGGTGAGGGGACACCTATTAGTGGGAGGGTGACACACACCTGGTCATCTGTGTTGGTGTGGCGGTACAGGTGCCGGAGGAAGTTGAAGTGGGAGCAGTCACGGACAAGAATAAGGTCGGTGGTGCCATCAGACAGGTGGGCGGCAGGGGACAGTCCCTCGGGGCTACGGGGACATGCACAGCTCATGCTGGCTGCGTTGATGGCCAAGAACTTTCCCTGGATCATTTGCCACCCATGATGGTGATCTGTGGGACGGACATTAGAGAGGAGGGTGATTCACATCCTGGGAAGGAACAGCGTTCCACACAAGGAGGACAATGAGTCACAACCTGGGAAGGAACATCGTTCCACGCAAAGAAAACAATGAGCCACGACCGGAGAAGGAACAGCGTTCCATACAAGAATACACAAATCTGAGAGCAGTGTTCATAATGGTTATATTGTTGAAAGCAGAATGGTTTCAAGATCACTATTTCAGAAGTGTTTTTATGTGGGGGCCATGACTATTGGCAATAGTGTGCATTTCATTATTCAGGATTCCTGCGTTATTATACCAACAAAATAATCCCAGCCAATCAACACGCAGTGAACATATTAATTAGAGATGGGTTGTATTGCTTTCAATGATTTTTTTTTTGCACAGAGAACACATTTATTGGATATTTAAACGAGGAAAAACAGGATGGGGCTTTGATGCACATTAGCCCTTGGCCTCTGAAATGGCACATTTGCATTCTGGGAAGCTGATTTGCATGCGTGCTGCCAGGACCAGGCCTGCAGTGTCTGCACTTGTGATATTTTCATTCCAAACAAGTAACAGCAACGGCACTCATTCGGGCAAGGTTTTAAAAAAATCAGAAAGAAGTTTGGCATCGCCGCCGCCTTCCTGATTAAGACGGGCCTGTGCGCACACTCATCGCCCCTCGGGAAACATATCAGCAGGAGCCGGAAGAGGCGAGCTCAATAAATTAACATGTAAAACTGCCAATTAGGGATCAGGGGTGTGATCTGTTGTTTTCGGTAAACACAACTTATCTGCTGCTTACCATAAACGACTGCAAATAATGTTTACCACATTCATGTCACAGTTCGAGCCCCCCCACCTCTCCGGAGGGGATGGGCTGCACCGGTGGGTGCTGAGCTGGAGCGATATTGCAGTGAGTCATGGTCTGATGGAAGAGGAGTCCCTCCCAACGCACAGTGGGAGTGCTGACAGACAGGGGACCGGTGGGAAACGGACATGGGTGATAGACACGGGGACAGGAGAAAGTCTTGGGGAGACATGGGGACAGACTCAGGGACAGGCAGGAGACAGATGTGGGGGATAATCACAGGACAGACAGACAGACTCAGGAACAGATGAGGACAAAATCTGGGACAGACAGGAGACTCGGGGACAGATGGGGATAACCTCATGGACAGACTTGGGGATTGACAGAAGACAAACTCAGGAACAGACGCGGGGATTGACAGAAAACAAACTCAGGAACAGACGCGGGGATTGACAGAAAACAAACTCAGGAACAGACACGGGGATTGACAGGGGACAAACTCAGGGACAGACGCGGGGATTGACAGAAAACAAACTCAGGGACAGACGCGGGGATTGACAGAAAACAAACTCAGGAACAGACGCGGGGATTGACAGGGGACAAACTCAGGGACAGACGCGGGGATTGACAGAAAAAAAACTCAGGAACAGACGCGGGGATTGACAGGGGACAAACTCATGGACAGAAGAGGGACGTCGCGTTCCTCACCAGAAGACGTGCCGTTGAGCTAGTGTGACCCATGATGGGATACACGATGGGATTTTGTGTGGTGTTGTGTTGCAACAAAAAGTGAAAGAGAAGATGTCCCACCTTTGTTAGGAGTTTCCTTGTCCTTCCCGCTGTCGTCAGAGAGCGGCCGGCCATCCCGCTGACAGGGGAGGCACCTGCGTGGGTCAGAATGGGGGGACATTATACATAAGCATCACCGGCTCGAGTTGCCATGTTGAGATTTCCCCGGCAGGCTCTGGTGGCTTTAATAAGTGAGGGGCCTGCCCTTACGTAAAGGTGTCCATGTCCCGCTGCTCTCGCTGGCGCTTCCTGACAGGAATATATCACACAAAAAACCCACCTACCCACACTCTGCAGGCTGATCTTCTCCGACATGGTTTAACCTCGTCTCCCGAACTGCTCCAAAGATGCCAGTGTGGCAGAACTCACCCAGCCCGACACTTGGTTTTGTCCCTCGGACTCCCCGAAACGTCCGTTGCCGGGAGGAAGTATACCGTGCCCTCGTAAGAGTGATGTGCGAGGAACGTGGTGAAGCCTGCAGGCAGGGCGGCGTAGGTTAGTATGGAGCGCGGGTTCCGGGCGAGAGTGCAGAGGGGTTAAGCGTGTGCTGACTGAATGCACCTGAGACGCTGTATCTGACAGGCCCCATCCACCGCTTCTTCTCGCTGTCCATCAGCACATCGCCATAGAAACCGTATCCGAGCATGGATACGGAGTACCTGAGGAACTTGTTCCTGTGGTGGACCGAGCAGACGTCCAGAGCGTGGGAGTCTCCTGGGGGGGGGGGGGGGGGGGGAGATGGGTGAACGTCAGGCACCTCACATATGTCACATCTCGCCCTTGTCTAGGGCTGTATATGGGGCGGTGGGACTGGACCCCTGTTGACAGCTGATTGGCCCCTAAAGTGCTCCCTCCCCCATCACTCACTGATGGCCAATGATATGAACGGTGGCTCAATTTATGGCCACCACCATTAAAGGATGCTGGAATAGTCCCAGCCTCAGTCACGGACGGCGTAAAAGTCCTTACCAACGATGATGTGCAAGGCGGAAGTCACAGGGTCGTTGGTCCCCACTGAGGCATAGCAGATGCAGTCGGTAGAACCTGGGAAGGACGTCATTGGGTCCAGAGATGAGCAAAAATGCATCAAAAATATCCTATTTTTAAGTATATCAAAATGAACTACAAAGTACAGCCACCAAGCAAAAGTATCAAATACACTGCAGTATTTTGTATTTTAAAAATACAAAAATACAACCACATACTTCTATTCTATATCAGTTTGATCCTTCACACGCAAACTGACTCAAATGGCCAGGCAATACAATGCAATACAGACACAGTACAAATATGAAATGTATATCCCAGTTGCTGACGTGAACCCTCAGATAATGGTAACAATAAATGTGGAATGTTTCTTTTGTAATTTAACTGACAGAACTGCTGCAAAACAGACGCAAATAACTCAAAGCAACAAAATGACAAACAAAACGAAAGTGCTTCACTCAGCAACACCTTAAAGACTTTAAACTCTAATAGGCTTGAATGGAGCTTTTAAGTCTTTTGGTTCAGCTATAGTCTCTAATGGCCATTCAGTAAAATGACTGGAAAAAATCAAACTTCCGCCTTGTGTACACACAAACGTTAGACGCACACGACGTCATCACCCGTTCTTTACCGGGAAACTACAAAGCTACTGAACATCAAAGTATTTTGATGCAAATTACATAATTATTCTTATGAAGTCCAATTCAAACTACAAAATACAATACTGTATTTAAATCATCTTATTTGAAATACAAATATCATAAATCATGCCCGTCCCTGGTTCAGTCAGTGTCGACACGCAGCACCCGAAACAAGGCACTCTGCCTATCTGCCCTTAAGCTGAAACATTTTTAACCACTCTGATTAAAGGTCTTCTGTCTTCTGACGATTAGCTTCTTCAAACTGTAAAAATGATCAGATCGCGGTCCATAGCGCTAATGCTCTAAATTTTCTTGAACAGTGGGGCTGTCCTGCAGCCTTATCAGTTACACGAAGCCTGATTACCCTTGCAACCATATCTCCCATCCCTCGGGGTTTTTAAGGTCCGTCCAAATTCTATTTCAGAATAAGTATGTAATAACCACCCACGCCTTTTCGCTCAAAACGCCTACAAATAAAAAATGACTGTTGAAACGGCCTGTGATGAACAGATAGGCAGGGGAATTACTGAGATCGCTTATGATGAAAACAGGCACTTTATGACTCCCTTGGTGAATACTGTACTAAAAATGGCTGCCTGATATACTTTTATGTGGTTAGCGTGGCAGCCTTCAACCTTACTGACTTTTCAACAATCTGTCACAGATTAAACCTTACTGATTCTCCCTGCCCATCTGCGGATGACACAGCCTTTTAGGGGTGTACCCTTCTTTGAGGAGTGCTCTTTCACAGTGTGAATGATTAAGTATGGAGTAAATAACAGGATAAACAGGATCCTGTGAGTAACGTTAAGGAAAATTAATCCGATTCGATCTTTATTTTAATTAGGCAAAGGGACACAAACGCAAGCACACATAGGTACGGTGCCGAAATCGCACAAATGGCGTGTGTGTCAGACATAGGAAGCGAAAGCTTCTGTATTTAAGCTCATGAATATGTATCGTGTACCTGCCAGCAGGAGATACAATGCAGCTGTTTATTGGAATTAGACTCGGTCACAGCGTGAAATCGCCTGATCCCAAGGCGGGGTCTGGCCAGCCCCCAGGTGGTGGCAGCTCAGTTGGGTCACATTTTTCAGCATTACATGACCCATTCTGATGGTACGATGCTTCAGCGGCGCTGTTGCCCAGGATGTCTCGCATGTGAAATCGAAAAAATATACAGGGGCCCGTTAACGTTTTCTCAGGGGCCGCGGAAGGGAGACCTCTCTGTGGAGTCATTCCCAATCTCAGGCATCCAGGCGAAGTGTCAGCGCAGTGAGACCAAAAAATGCATTAGTGTTTGGACAGCTACATCACCGCAAGGCCTGGGAGCTCACGGCGACAAGCAGACACCGGAGCCGGGCCCCAAATCTCCAGCGATGGTAACAAATCACGTTATCCAATTTACTCTCTGTTTCTCCTATTTACAATGATTTAAAAATGGGGCATCGCATGCATAATGGAAGGGAAATCTGAATGATGGCCCCGTCGTGCTTCCCTTGCCATCTCGGCGAGTGACGGGGGCCGTGCTGTTGCCATGGAAACCGCGGCGGCATGTGCTCCAGCGTGGAATTTAACTTTAATTTGACGCTGCCTCGGTGAATGTACTGCACATGTCGCTGGTCGGATTTTTGCATTACTGGTCTATTCAAAATCTGGAGATTTCCCAACTCTGGCCCGTCAGTATTAATCCGACAGCTCACCTCGAAGTGCGCGCACACACACACACACACACACACACTCAGGCTGAAGACACCTGCGTTTCCCCACAGCTGCAAGCCATTGACAAGAATGCCATCCCATAACAAACTTCGCTCTCGTCTTCCAGCTGACAATGATGACAGCTTGATATCGTGAGGATTGCTACCCAACATCTTCAAAGGTAATCTAAAGTGTTTACATCCCCAGTCCATCTGCAAATGCCAAAATATGCTATGACAAGTACTGTTACCATAGTGATGAAGTTCGACATTACAAAGATGCAACAAAGATGAAGCTATTAACGGCTTTTATACAGCATTCCTTTTATTAATAGCTGATTCTCAGTATTCCCAAAAATGACAGGGTAATTTATAGCAATCCCAGAACTTCATGGGCTGATTCCCAGCATCCCCCAGTATTATGGGCTCTCTCCCAGCATTCCCAGTTTTAAAGTTGTTTTCCTATTGCTCAGACTTTGGCGGTGCGGTACACTCTGCTCATGGCTGGTGCGATTACCTGCCGGGATGATGCCGACTCGAATTCCACAGGGCGCCGGATTCTGCTCCGCACTGTTCTGGTCCACTCCAGCATCTCTCTGGGTCCTGGTGAGCAGCCCGTGAAGGACCTCGCTGAACATGCCATCACCCCCGACGCACACCACGCTGCCGGGCGCGAGAGGAGACGCTTGACACTGAGCCGACTCATAGCAACACTCCGCAAAGGTGGACCCTATAAATACACGACGGAGCGGCCGAATCCCACCAAGATCCCCAAATCCCGCCGCAAGTCCCTCACTAAGCCTTTTGTTTACCGGCTCTGCCCCAAACCGAGAGACTGGGGAAATTATCCGCCAGCAAACAAGTTCATTTGTGTCCTACGACTATTGTGATCCCTGGTCCGGGTGCAGACTTACCCGTCGTACTTCGTTAGGTCTGCATCACTGGCCAAATGGTCCTTGGCATGATCCCTATCTCGAGTTACTATGGAAACAAATGAATCACAAATGCGTCTCCCCTCTGTCCCTCTGCCTTGAGGCATTTGAGCTGAAGCCAAAATGTCTTATATGTCTAAAAATGTAGGATACTTTTGATAGCTTTTGGCTGACTTTAGGAGATTATGCTGACGGGAGTCAGACAGTCATTATATAAAGTATCTTACTGTAAAATGCCTTATGAATGCAGCTACTTTGCTTTATTGCAGTCTGGTCACCATCACCTCAGGGTCAGCAAGCTAAGAGTTCAGGTGCACCTGCGTCTGGATCTTTACTGACTGATATTCATTCAGCGTCTCCGAACATCACGGTGACATTCGCTGGAGGGGGTGTCCACCCCATGCTTCATATAATTGCCAGGTGCCAGTGATTAGTTGGGTCTCTCTTCAAAGATTTCTTCGGATCATTACTGTTATGGACTGTCACAGTCCTCATTATAATACTTTGCCAAAGTCATAAATAGCGGCGTTTTTTTTCCGGGCCGGAACCTGCCGCCCAACAGCGGAGATCATCCATGGGCCCGTAACGGCACCATGTTTCATTAAAATGTTAATGCACGGCGTCGACGGGGACTCACCGATCACGTGCGTGGACACGGAGGCGCGGGAGAAAAGGGGGGCCACCCTCTGCTCGTAAATCTGCTTGGCTTGCCGTTTGCCACTGTTGGGGTTAATGTAGACCAGCAAACGCTTGGGTCTGTGGTCTAGGAGATAATTAGTTATTAAGTCTCTGTTCACTCTGTCTATAAACTCTTTCTAAAGCACAATGAACTTTCCTAAGCTTCTCTGTAGATAACTAAAGAGACTCATCCTTACGGGCGTGTAAATTATTACATTATATAAAGCTGACCAGGGACACATCACAGGAACAAAATGACGCGAGAGTCATGTGGGTATGGGGGCAGAACAAGGAAAGGAGCTATACATCTGTGGTTCACTGGGGTGGGGTCTGTGCTATAAATTCTTTACCGTAGTAAAAATGTGTTCAGTGACTTACAGGTATGTAGGTAATGTGTAAAGTGTTATTGAGAGACATGTGACCAGCCAAGAGCGAAAGACGCTGTGAAAGCACAGGAGCCTTACTGAGAAGGCTGATCTGCTCCCTGATGGTGCTGACCCAGTGGCGACAGGTGGGGGTATCGGGCCAGTGGAAGGTGACGTCACGTGGCCGCCAGTGGTGCTGACCCTCCCTCTCCACGTAGGACACTAGGAGGACAGAGCGCAGACTCTGAGGGGGTGTTTGAGAGTGACGGTGGAGGTGGGGCCATATCAAGGCCACACCCCTCTTAATGCACCACTGTCCAATCCCGTACCTGTGAAGGCACCCTGGCAGGCTTTCTCTTGCTCCTGGGTCCATCTTTGACCGTTTTTGATCGGGGAGATGCCCTGAGCCTCATAAACGGCGATGATTTCACACACGGGTACAGAACCGCTCACTGTGGAAGCAGAAAAGTGCATCATTCTCACCAAAAAAAAAAAAAAACCACACAAACATCCATTGATAAAGCAGGCGAACACACTTCAGGTTTCACTAGATAAAACCATTTGGTTGGACAGAAATCAATAAATGAATGACATAAACCTGGTTTAAACGGACAACAAGGATACCATTATGAAAGAATAAATGTAGAACTATCCATCCATCGTTTAACCACTGTTAAACCACTGTCCCGGTCAGGGTTGCAGCAAAAGTAGAATTATAGTAGAATTAAATGGTACATATGCTGTATTTATGACTGGTATGTAAAAACAACTGTTACATACATAAGAGGAATACCACCATCTAGTCCATTTTCTATTGAATATTCTGAAATTATGGAATTAAACATCCAGTCAAGTCCCTGTCAAGCAAACTACACTCACCCACTGTAACTGTGGCTCCGAAATGAGTAACTGGGTTTTAAAAGTTGTTTGGAAAAAAAAAAGCTTTTATTTTACTTTGTTCAGGCTTTATTACAGGATGCCAGGACACGTAATTGGTGTCTCTGAGTACACTGAATGGCTGTTTTGAAAGTACTTCTTCTCTACAATTGTTGCTATCTCCCCGTAGACTAGCAACACCTTCAGGAGATGACAGACCTTACAGAGAGCACTGAGGTCTTTTTATCACTGCGAAACAGACATGGAACTGCAAGTGAGCCGATAACAGCATTATGGATTACGGCCCCATTATTTGCATTAAAAAGAAATAGCGTTGTCTGACCGAATGGAAACTTTTAAATTAACAAAGCGACAGATGTTAAATAAGTTCACACATCACTTTAGGGAGTTTAAATGAAGGGAGAAGAGAATTTTGAATCCACAGGTGCCACTTGGACACATTCTGAGTTACATTTAGCTGGTTAAGATGGGTTTAAAGTTTGTGAATCCTTGCTCAGCAAAACTGCTTTTATTTATTACTTGAACCAGAGAGAAATTCCGCAACAATGAGATGGTCAGAATAATGTTTGGAAATAGCTTATAGGAAATAGCTTAGGGCTAAGGTACTATAATGAAGCAGCTAAAATCTGAGGCACAACTAGCAAAAGATCCCATTCAGTAATAACGTTCATCACATGCAGAATGCATTGTCAAGAAGTCACTGTCATCGTCAGCTGACAGAAAAGAGCAGGCTTCAAATTGTTTCCTGGAAAGTCATGTTCTCTAAACAGAGGTGTGATCTGTTTCATTTGTATAGTTGGAATAGAACCAAGAGTACAGAGGGAAAGCCAACTATAACTCTGTCTAACTCGCTAAGCCTGTTGACAAACCGGGTTTGTATGAAAAAAGATCTTGGTGTAATTGCACGCTTATTGATGTTTCCGTGGAAACCCTGTCAGGGCCTGCATCCAATGCACCGGAGCATTGCAGCTCATCCCCTTCTTGGCAAAGTTTTGTTTAAATCCTGACCTCCAGAGAACCACAGAAAAATAATCCCCCTACTACTAATGTGGGACCCTTCTCAGGCCAAACCGTGCCGGCTCCCAACAACCTAATGAGACTGGAGAGGCCAGAAAATCCTACAAGCACTAGAGGAAAGTTCACAAAGTCATTTCCCCGTGGCTGACTCTTCCTGTGTGCTATGCAAAACACAGCTCAGATAACTGCCTTTCGCTGGAAATCTACCATAGAATCTTACAGTACGGTGAAGAAGTGGGTCACTAACTGTATCCTATTGTAATGAAAATACTACCCTTCCAAAAATAGAACATTTTCCTAACAGAGAGCACTGTGATGGGGAACAGCAATGTTTCCTCTTCTGGCAGCTGTCGACTTTGCTTAGCTGGCTGGGGTGAGATTTTCACCTTGAGACAAATCTGCACATACATGCACATGTATGTAACAGTTTTATGATCTTGTAAATAGTCTGTATAGGGTTTGCAAACTACCCGAAAGCTTTTGATGTAGCTAATTTCAGTTTATAATGTAATAATACAGATTTGCAGTAAAATTTCTTGCGTAAGCGCCAGTCAGAAAGTGTGTGTCACGCCAGATGTGTGAGAGCTGGCAGCCCTGAAAACAATATCAGACAAAAAAGGAAAGAAATACACAATCTGTATCTTCCACACACCTACCATCGCATTTTGTTTCAAGAGATATAAAGTGTGTCTAAGTATCCAGAGATTCCAGTTAAGAGATTACATAACATAGTCTGTAGACTATGCAACATAGCTCCTGGAGAACATAGTCGGATCATGAAATGCTGGTGTTTAAGACAACGGCATAAAAAGTCCTGAAGTTTTATCTCAGCTGTGACGAATATATCCTTTCTGCTACACATGTGCAGGATTAGTATGGGACTCCATTATTTAGCCTAAGCAATGTGCGTGTTCATTGAGCTATGAAGGACATATCCACCAATTATGAAAAAGACAGTACGTTGTACGGGACCTTGGAAATCTTTGATCACTTTTCAAAAGTTTTATTATTGTTTTGAAAAAATGACAGCCAGCGAATACTAAGCCTATTACTTTCACGTCTCATTAAACTGTTAAAAAATACATTTCCGTGGAGAAAGTAAAGTATATTATTGCTCACACTTGCGTTTAAGTATCATAAGCGTTTAAAAACCCGGAGCGCCCAGTTTACAGTAAGTTACTCCAGTAGAAATACTCAGCCAAAGCGCACAGATATACAATCCTGCACCCTACAATCCAGCGACTTACCGACTTTGAATTTATTGCTTGTATTATGACTTCCAGAGGCAGCTTTCGTCTGTAGGTTCCTCCACGTCAGCCTGATACGGCTGAGGTTCACCTCGAAGATGGTGCTTTTCAGGAAAAATCGGGATGACAGCAGACACTCCGGCTCCTCCATCGCCGCTCTTCAGCTGGAGGTCGGACTTCGTGATAATAGCGCACAGATCGCACGGTCCGCGTCGCCGGTCCCCCAAGGCATATGTACATTCACCAAGCTGCACACCCGTCCTGTCGGATACTCCCACAGCAAAGGAGAAAACACACCTTACTGTACCACGTGTGAAAACCTCGTAATATCGTTTTGAATGAACAAAAACATAAAAACCCATAAGCCTTTGGAAACCGTGGGCTGTAAACCATTATTGGACTATCACGGATGTTATAATTGTTGCAACAACTAAAGAGCACCAATCTCGGTGGACCTGGATTTGATATATTTATTATACGCCTTTTAATTGTGCGTCAAGGTGGATATTAAGTACACTGCAGCCTACGCGACATTATCAGTATAATTAGTCTTTAATGCGTTCGTAAGACCATTTCGATTTATCCATTTAGGCATAAGCCAAATAATAGCGATAGAACAAACTTAAAAGTAATAATTATGGCATAATTTTGTTATCGATAGAGTTGTTTGCCGGGGTGCCCACGGCTCGAACTTCCTTGGTGATTTGTACAGGTTTTGCAACGAGTACAGTATTTTGATTTGGATGACGGAGATTTGAATCACGTTATAAACATTAAGTTACACCTTCAAACGAGACCAAAATCAGTTGTCGTCCATGAACGTCGTGTTCAAAGTAGAGTGAAAACCTTTGGAAATTTATTTGAAAAAGCGCTGACCAAGCTGGCCGATTATTTGTATAAATCATGCTTGCAATTGCAGTAAACTTATTTTTCAAAATCTGACGTCTTTAGAAAATTAAAGGGTGGCATCTCGGAAGATCAGATATACAAGGGATTATTTCTCTTGTTTTTTTTTTTCTTCCTTCGTTTAATCAACAGCATTTTGTACCTACAAAAATAATAGAAGACATGCATACAGACACACATAGACAGGCAGATATATAGATAGGTATAAACGATGGATCGATAGAAAGAAAGAAAGAAACTCGCCGCCCTAGGATTTCCAGATTGTCCATATTAACAAATTACTGTTACCCGTCATGTATTGACAAACGCAACTTGTAATCCAAAGGGGCTGTTCTATATTAAGAAAAACATCATGTATAAATACAATTTGTCAAGCACGCTGAAACAGAAAGATGCTGACAGAGTTGCACAAAATGTGTGTATACTGCCATATGCTTAAGATAATTGGTCTGGATAAGATTTACTATTAAAGGGATTAATAATTCTTATTTTAGACCGGCACAGATGGCACGAGCCATATGGTCTCTCAAGTGCAGATACGTGCAAACATTTTCCAAACTGCACTGATGCCTTTAAACCAGTTTGATCGTATGCTATCTTTGAAATGAGCTTTGATTAATATTTCGTGTGTCTATACCTTTAATTTTTGAGCCTCTTCCACTTTGATCAGATTAATGCGAAAAAACCCGACTTCCTTAGCAGCTCTCAGTTTGTGTTTGATCATGTTTTCGTTTAAAAATATGCATGTGCAAGTACCAGATGGATTTCGGACCTGTAATCAACTTCCCTTCGCTGTCTTTTGTCATTACTACTGTACAAAACCTTAACTAGGTAATAATGTAAGGAGTATTGTTAAATCACTGTCAATTAATTTGTTGCATCAATATAATAACACTAAATATGATAAATTGAATTGCATTAACCACTTGTCTTCAAAGGCCACAGTACCCGGGCATTCTCTCACAGGGCTCCCCTCTGAGATCATTTGGATCATAAGAGGGTCCTTCTCTCAACAATTCAATAAGAGATCTCCAATGAGATACCCAACAGGCCTGTTGAATGGAGGTTATGAAGCTCAACACTTTCACAGATGTATAACAAGGGTATTGGACATAGGGTGAGTTTCCTGAAGCTTTCTTAACGCTACGTTGTTTGTATGTTTGGGAAACTCACCCATAGCTGCTACACATGTGTATAGGAACCTATATGAAATGGATTTTTGGCCTAGTTCACAATTGGTTTCTAAATGTGTCTTGAGTGATTAGATTGCAAGCAGACAGCTGAGACACAACGCTGCTTACACGTGTGGCCGTCATTTGTCTCCAAGGTGCCCAGCTGACCACTTGTGTACAGATTCCTTCAACAGTGTTTGCACTACAAGAGATATATGTGGTCAAATGCATCCCAGACCACTACAGCAAGTATAGTTTGAGTGATCGGATCTCAATTTGCCTTGGTGGTCGTTTACGCTTATATTTCGTGCGGTCCACTTATGATCTGATTGCCCAAGATACATTTTAAAACCAAGTGCAATGAGGTCCATAGATTATAAGGTATTTGTGATATAAAGTTACATGTAAGCACGAGGTAGACCACTGCAAGTATCCATTTTACATTACAGGTTAGGAGGTTTAGTCAGACTAAATCTTTTCAGTTCAACTTGACAATAGAGGAAGTCATCAATTTTCTTCAGTCTGCTGTGCTGTGAATCAGTCCATAAAAAAAATCCAGTACTACATACAGAAAAAAGACACTGTTGTAGGATTCCATTTTTATTTTAGTTTAAGTGTATACATATTGCATTACTTTAATGTTAAAGTATAATTCCTAAATAATTCCTAAAACAGGCAGTGCTGACCCACACTTGGGTATAAATAAATTTCCACGTCAATAGTGAGGTGATCTCGACTGAGTTGGAAGTAGCACTGTACTTCAAAAATCGACGTCTCTACGTATAGGTCATGTACATTTGTTGTTACTTTTGATTGGGTAACGACCAAAGTTCCTCAAATCAACCAATCAGAGCCTCGCTTACTCATAGACGGCCGAATCAACATGGCGGCTGTCTGAGTTTAAGGAAGAGGCTATGTGTAAATAAAAACACTGGTAGCGATCTGCACATTTGTTTTTTTTCTCTTGTCATTTTTCGTGCTTAATGAGATATTACACGGCAAATAGAAAATGTCAAACGACGGCAACAAAAAACAATTCTGGAAAAGAAACACAGCCAAGGTTCCTGGCAGGTATGTGACGTGCTAATCCAGCTACCTTTCACGGCTAGCAAAGTAGTTTTGCTTTCAGAAGCAAACGTTAATACCAGTTATGTGTCACTGGTTTTTTTTTCTATGTTACTGCTTTTCTACTGCTGGAAACGGAAGGATAAACGTAGTGGTGCGTGTTGATTGCTGTACACAGTTAACTATGTATCAGCTGTGCCTCTGGCAGAGTAATGAGGGAAAAAAAAACTAAGGTACACCTTGTTGGAAAGTGACAGTCCTGTCACTGCGGAGTACCTTCTTCTGCCGAGTTTACCAGGGCTTTACTGTATCCTATAAAACGCTTTTGCGTTGATAAATTAACTAGAAACCGCTTTTCTGCTTGACGCTAACTGTAGAGGCTGAACTGAAGAGGCGAGTCCATTCGCCTTCCTGGGTGTCAGGTTCAGCTTGCACAGAGAGCTGACAAAGCTGCCAAACCGTTCCTACTCGAACTTAGTAGCTCTTTTGTTCCCAGATCATAAACGTTATAAAGAAACCATAAAATTAATTAGCGTCACGCTTCAAGTTCAATGTGTTATCTTTATAGTACTGCTTAAAATCAGTAATTGACATGCCAGTTGTATGGCATAATATGAGATCTGATATGATATGACAGGGTAAAGTCCCCTCTGGCTGATTTGCATTGACGCCATGCTGATGTAGAGATTAACCTGTCTTTGCTTCCTACCCCCCCCCCCAGCATACAACATGTTTATGGAGCACAGCACCCCCCCTTTGACCCTTTACTACATGTCAAGTAAGTTTATGGCTTGGGTTGTCCCCTCTAGTGAATTCATATTGTCTTCTGTTTTCTCATTAATTCTGATACCTGTGGAGTTGACCGATGAATAACAAAGTTTAAAGGTACCGGTGTTTCTGTACCAGTTTGAGGAATTTCTGTTTGCTGCTCATTCATTCAGAAAGTTGGTATTTTAAGACATAGAACAGGTTATTTTTCTGATGTAACATTCCTGACTCAGCTCAAACTCTCTGTTGGTTGTTCAGATGGGAGCTACACTATGAGAGAAGCATTACATCAAGATACAGTTCTGTCATGGTTCTGTTACACTATAAGGCCATCGACGTTCCTA